CAAACCCCTCCTCTCAACCTTCTGAGCCTAAAGACCTTACTAGGCCCTGCAGGGAAACCTGAGGCACTGCCCAGCCTATGTTTGTGGTGTGAGGCAAACAGGTACCCGAGGTGCCTGCCACCCCCTCACTGCTTGCCAGAAGCTAATAGAAAATTATATTTCCTGAGTATAACGCACCCAGGAAACACCCCACCTCTCCCTCACTCCCTTCCTCCTTCCCCCTTTCTTGTCTCTCCCTCTCTCCATGAAGCATTCTTTGGTTTTCTCGGTCCCATATTAGGACAGTACGTGGATACAGCCCTGAGCCCACTCACTAGAGTATGTGACCCCGGCCCCGAGTCCACTCACTAGAGTACGTGGCCCCGGCCCCGAGTCCACTCACTAGAGTACGTGGCCCCGGCCCCGAGTCCACTCACTAGAGTACGTGGCCCCGGCCCCGAGTCCACTCACTAGAGTACGTGGCCCCGGCCCCGAGTCCACTCACTAGAGTACGTGGCCCCGGCACCGAGCCCACTCATCACCTTCAAAGCTCCTTTCTTTTGCTTCCCTGGTAACTCTATGCAGCCTCTCTCAGCACTCTCATCCCTACTGCCAAGGCTCTAAGGCTTGTTACCATAGTTGCCAGTCTGTTACCACAGTCCTTTAGTTCTCACTGAAACCTGGTCACTCAGGGTGGGGTAGTCCTTTGTTGTAGGGCGTTTAGCTGTGTGTCTGGATGAGGCCACTAGATGGCAGCAGCACCCTCTCAGTTTAGAGCGCGATGCCCACAGCTGTTGCCAGATGCCCCAGGGAGGCAGCATCAGCTGTGATGGAGAACCAGTTACTCATTCATTCAACCATTTGTTTGTTTATAAATTCAAAATGTATATGGGTGTGTCGTCTGACAAAGGGTCCTGAAGAGAGCATTGGACCCCTGGAACTGAAATTAAAGACGTGTGGGTGCTGGACTCCAAGCCAGGTCATCTCCAAGAGCAGTCAGTGCTCTTGACCACCGAGCCATCCCTCCAGCCCAAGAATCAGTTTCTCAAGTCAATCTCCAATACGCTTCTGGAGTGTTGCTTTCAAAATATAAAACTAGTTGTATTTGTTGACTTGACTGTGTGTCTCCACTATGCACCCTGAGGAGTGAGCAAGCCAAGTCAGAAGTATGTTGGGAAAATACTGGAATAGCTACCGCCTTTGGTGTGTGTGTGTGTGTGTGTGTGTGTGTGTGTGTGTGTGTGTGTAGCCCCCCCCCCCATGGAGCTGCTGAGCTTTGGCTTGTGGACTGCGTGTATACACTGAAGACTGCCAAGGATGTACTGATGGAAGCCATTGGCCTACGGAAGAAATGTCATTTTCCTGATGTTTGAACTGTCCGAACCCCACCTTAACTGTTCTGGTCTCACCCGGTCCTCCAGTCTCGTCCTGTTGCACCTCTCTCCCTGTGACTCCTCTAACATCAGCTGTCCTTCCAATTGTTCCCTAAGCGGTCTCAGAGCTTGCTGTTTGCAGGCAACCAAATCCTAACTGAAAGGCTGGGAAGAGACTCAGAGGGTGAAGTGCTGGCTATACACGAGGACCTGAGTTCAGATCACCAGCTCCCGTGTTAAAAAACCAGGCATGATGGCATACACCTGTAATACCAGCACTTGGGGAGTGGGGGGGGGCTGAGGCAGGGGGATGGCCACTTGTGTGTGGGTGGAGGGTGCTCACTGGAGACATATACCTCTAATACCAGCACTGGGGGCAGAGACAGGGGGATAGCAGATTGTGTGTGGGTGGAGGATATTCACTGGAGACATATGTCTATAATGCCAGCACTGAGGGACAGAAGCAGGGGGATGGCAGTATTTGTGGGAATGAAGGTTGCTCAGTTAGTACTGGGGAGATGACTCAGTGTGTAGAAGCACTCATCCCACAAACCTGACAGCTGGAGTTCATTCCTGAAAACCCAGGTAAAACTCAGGGGATGCGGCACAAGCATCAGTAATCCCAGTGCGCTCCCTGCCAGGGGGCGGGAGGCAGAACCGCGGAAGCCCACAGCCAGCTGGCCTGCAGTGTCTAAGCTGAAGAGATCCTGTCTCAAAATAGGTGGAGAGGTGAGGACGGACATCCAAAGGCTGTCCTCTGACCACCACGCACACATCAGGGCATGTGTGAATCTGCACCTTCACACTGGAATGAACATATATGCACATGGACTCACATTCTTATACACACATACATATACACACATCCACATACATTCATAAGAGACATCCACATATATCAGCACATACAAACATACGCACAAATGCACATACATACACACATATATACACCACACACACATATGCGCACACGCTTGGTGACTGGTGAACTAAAGGAAGAAGTACATCTCCCACAGTTCCTCACTGTCTGAATGCATAGGAAATATCAAGTCCGTAAAAACCTTAAAAATGAGCTCCCAGGCTTACTTGTCTAAGTGTCCTCCACAGCCAGACCAGACCCAGGTAGACATTACTGCTTTATGAGTTGATCTGTGACTTTGGCTTTCCTGGTGTTTCTGTGGTGATGCCATTTCTCCTCCAAAGTGTAGCACACAGAAGTGAACATGAGGTAACCTTATGCTGTTTTCTGGTATGCAATGACAACATGCCTTAGGTGTCTCCCCTGGTACTTTGTGGCGAGCCCTCCCAATTGAACCCCACTGCTCTGTTGCAGGGACAAGTGTTGTTCAAAGATGTGTGTGTGACCTTCACTCAGAAGGAATGGCAGTTGCTGGATGCTGCCCAGAGGCACCTTTACAGGGAGGTGATGCTGGATACATACAGGCACCTGCAAGCCGTGGGTAAGCCCCGCCTCCCACGCTGCTCCCATCAGCCTGTGCTCCTTACCTTACAAGTCCAATTAGTGTCAAGAGTCAAGTTTTAAGCCTGGGGCTCCCCACTTAAGAGTGCTTGCTGCTCCCCAGAGGACTTGAGTTCAATTCCCAGCACCCACATGGGGCAGTTCCCATCTGCCTGAAGCTGCAGCTCCTGGGGGCCTGAAGCCCTCTCCTGTCTGCACTCATGTGCACAGTCACTCACCTGGTGCCTGCACCTCTAGTCAAGGACTCAGCCCCTGGTCTGAGCAGCGACAAGATAAATACATGTGGCTCCCTCTCCCCCAGGAACTTAGCCGGTGGCTTTGGTGAAACACACCACAGCCTCATCAGTATGTACCCATCCCTCAGGCCTGAGCAGTCTTGTCAAGCCTTGCCATCTTCTCGTCACAGGCTGCAGTGTAACCAAACCTGAGCTGATATGCAAGTTGGAACAGGGAGAAGGTCCTTGGGAATCTTCAGGTCACAGCCTCTCAGGTGAGTTGATGTCAAGGAGGAGGAAGAGGGCAGAGCCTGGGTGGCCAGGGCAAGGCTTGCTTCCTTTGAATGTCTCTGTGGCCGAGTTGGTGGCGTGCTGGCCTAGCAGGTGCAGAGCCCCGGCTTTGATCCCCAGCAGAGCATAAAAGGCCCAGCACAGCCCAGGTCTTTAATCCCAGTACAAAGGCAGGAGGGTCAGTAGTTTAAGGTCAGGCCCAACCAAGCGAGGCCCTGTCTCAAACAGAAACAAACAAACAACAAAAAGAATATCTTTGAGAGGCTCTAGAATTTTCAAAGAGACAAAGAGAAATGCTCACGGCCTGATATCCACCTGGAAAGTATAGATGTTCTCTGCAGATTGTGTGTGGTGGCTCCCACCTTTGATAGAAGCATTTGGGAGGTAGAGGCAGGTGGTACAGTCTGGCTTACACAGAGAGTTCCAGGCCAACCAGGGCTATACATTAAGACCCTGTCTCGATAGATAGATAGATAGATAGATAGATAGATAGATAGATAGATAGATAGTGCTTCCTGTTTATCTCAGTTTTTAGTGCCTTCCATCTGTGGACGAGTCCTTTGTCTGACTCGTCTTTGTTCTCAGCTGTGTTTTATTTCCAGCTCTCTAGCCATTTAGTGGCCATGTTTGTAAGAAACCAAAGCTACTGATGTTATTTTCTTCTTTCCCTCCAACTTTCTACTCCATCGTGAGACTTTGTCTTCATTTTTGTACTACCCAATGAGAAGTCTAGATGAAACACCTGCTTAAAATGCCTTCCTTTCCAGCAGAGTGTGTCAGAAAGCCCAGAATCAAGTCGGCATAAGATGTGTGTGTGCAGACTCTTTCCTTTAACATTGTATTTTGATGTATAATATATGCTGACTTCTCATGTTCCTAGAAGTCCGGGGAGCCAATAACATGACAACAAGCCAAGGAAATGAAGACGAATACTTGAGTCAAGTTTTATTTGTCAACAACAAAACACTAACTAAGAAAAAAAGCAAGGATCTAAAAGAAACAGTTTATCTGACCACAAACTCAGTGGCCTCAAGAGAAAGACGCTGTAGCTGTCTCTCAGCAAGCTTGGGAAACATTGAAGGACTAATTACTGATAACACAAACTATACACAGAAGTTTGATGGTTTAGGAGAGTCTAAGTCCCTTGAGAGTAAGCATGGAAAAGATCACATAAGAAGCAAAACCTGGGCAGCTGAGCAAAGAAAGAGACCCCGCAGTCCTTTCGAGGGTCTTGCTCCACGTCAGAAGGCCTCGCATTTGGAGCAGCTTCGTGGATATTCAAATTCTGGGAAGACCTCAGACAGAAAGACAGGCTCTGTTATGCACGAGGCAGCTCACACGGGACAGGAGGCCTCTCAGGACAGTACATGCATGCAAGTCACCGCCCACAAGCTCAGGTTCCAGTCTTTTCTAAGAAACCTTCGAGAAAGGAAGGCACAAGAGGCCAGCAAAGGTGGGAAATCCTCATGCGTGAAGTCAAAACATGAACATCCAAGAACTCACCCAAGGGAGAAGCACTGTGGATGTGATACGCTTGAGAAATCCTGTCGTGAGAAGTCAGATCTTACCCGACATGAAAGAGTGCCATCAGGAAGAAAGACTGGCGAACGCAATGCAAGTGAGGGAGCCTTAAGAAACTCACCCCACAGCCAAAATGGGAAAATGCACGTGGGAGAAAATTCGTGTGAAAGTGGGAGGTCACCCCTTGGTGAAAATCAGAGTGCTTGCAAAGGTCCGAAAGCCCATGAGTGTCGCAAATGTAAGAAAAGCTGTGCTGAGAAAGCAGGTCTTACCCAACACCAGAGCTCACACCCGGGGAGCAAACCCTACGCTTGCCTTGAGTGTGACAAGTCCATCCCAGTGAAGGCAAACCTCACCGAACACCAGAGGACTCACACCGGAGAAAAACCGTATGAGTGCAGCGAGTGTGGGAAGTCGTTCTGCCAAAAATCCGCCCTCAAGATACACCAGAGAACCCACACAGGGGAGAAACCGTTCAAGTGTAACGAGTGTGGGAAAACCTTCTGCGTGAAATCGAACCTGACACAGCACCAAAGGACCCACACCGGAGAGAAGCCGTACAAATGCAGCGAGTGCTGGCGATCTTTCTGTGTCAAGTCCAACCTCGTCGTGCATCAGAGAACCCACACAGGAGAGAAACCCTACAAGTGTCCCGAGTGTGGGAAAACCTTCTATGAGAAATCTGCCCTCACCAAGCATGAGCGGATTCACACCGGAGAAAAACCCTACGAGTGCAGCGAATGCAAGAAAAGCTTCAGCCAGAGGTCAGCTCTTACCAAGCATCAGAGAAAAACACACAAGAAGAAAGCATCTTCCGGTAGCCTTCATGGGCAGACACCAGAACCGACGAGCGAAGCTCGCTGAACATCAACAAAATCCAAGGGTGGGCATGATGCTGCCATGGCAACAGGTATAGGAAAGCATTCACTAACCGGTTATAAGTGATAGAAACGAGACAATTAATGTAGGATCGAAAGCATAAGAATGTTTCAAATACATGAATACTTTCAACAGGTATTCAATGTTGTTGAAGGAAAAAAAATCTAAACTTTTAATGAATATGGAGAAAAATGTCCTTGTGGAAATATTGTCTAACTAGAAATTATATTTCAGATGTGACGTGAAACTCATTACATGACAGATAACAGAACGCCATCTGTTCTTAACAGAAAATGAAATATGGATCTTTCATAACAAGGATAATTTTGGCTACTGATTCCGTTGTAATAAACAGCCATCTTTTGCCTACCCATCTTGATTTTCTTCAGCGTATTCTCTCCTTTGCTTCCTAGAAGTCTATTTAATTTTTTCCATAATAAAGAGGACATTGACCAAGAAAAAAGAACTAAAGTGGAAAAGACCAAAAAAAAAGTTTAGGAATCTAAGCAATGAAAGTAAAGAAGATGCCAGGAACAGCTAATGGAAGCAACACAAGCAAGGAATCTCTATGTCAAAGATGGGGGTCATTTAATGCTGAGTTAAAAAGATTGTGCAGTGGTCAGCAAGGTGGCTCGGTGGTAAGGGCTGTTACTACACAAGCCTGAGGACGTCAGTTGATTCCTGGAACCTATGTAAAGGTTGTCCTCTGACGCCAAACATGCACTGTGGCACACACATGTTCACATATGCATGCATACACACACGTATGCACACACACTAATAATACATACAATAACATTTTAAACACACAAAAACCCTAAATCTAATGACAGGTAGTTTGTAAAAGAGAAGGAGAGGAAGAAGAGGAAGAAGAAAGAAATTTAAAGTCAGTTGAAAAGGGAATTTGGATATGTATATCCAATAAAGTGTGACTTCGTAATGGTGAGTCTTGTGGCTACATTATTGAATTCAACTTCTATGGAATTTTGTCTAGGGGGAAGGTGAACTTTTAAACATCCTACTTATGACCTGGGTGCAGGCCTTTAATCCCAGCACTTCAGAGGCAGAGGCAGGTAGATTTCTGTGAATGTGAGGCCAGCCTGGTCTACAGAGAGTTCCAGACCAGTCAGGCCTATGTACAAAGACCTTGCTGCAAAACAAACAGAACAAAGCAATGACAAAAAGCCCAGTTTTAAGATTATAGGGATGATGAACAGGGTACCAAGAGTGGTCGCACCTTTAACCATTTATCTGGACATGGCACCTGCAGAGACTAAGGATGATAGATATGGGCTGTGGAGCCATCCCAGTTGGGGAGAGAAAGCACACATCTCCAGAGAGTTGGGGTTGGGTTCCTCCACCTCCTGCCTCCAATCCGCTCACAGGTGCCCAACACAATGACGGTTTCACTTCTTTATTTCTCCTATTTTCATGTGTGTGTAGGAATATTTTGCATACATGTGAGTCCATGTATGTGGGAATGGGGATGCACATATATGTCTGTGCATGTGGAGGTCCTGGGGTTAATGTCAGAAGTCACCCTGGATTGCTCTTCCTCTTACTCACTGAGACAAGGCCATGCAACCAAACACAGAGTTCTCTTATGGGGCTAGTCTCGCTTGTCAGCTTGCCCTGGGAAACCCCTGATTCCTTTGGAGGTTGGAATTACAGCCCTCCCCTCCACATCTGACACATGGGTTCTGGGGATCCAAAGCCTAGTCCCCTCTTACACACCGAGACTAACTGCTGAGTCATCTCCCTAACCCCAGAACTGTGTGGATCTATAATGTCTGAAAAATAAAAGTCTGGCTTTTCAAAGGAATGGATACACTACGCAGAACGACATCTCCTTTCTGGAGAGCGGAGAGAAAATACCTAAGCCCTGGGAGCTCCAAGGCCCTGGTCACACCGCATGTATGTCAGCCTGACTTCCCTTTCCAGATATTGTCCCACTCTTGTTAAAGAGAAACAAATCCTGTAACATCCTACCCCCTCAGAGAACTCAGCATCTTTGGGATTATTTTCTCCTCATCTACCTCCTCCTCCTCCACACGAAAGCTAAATGTGAGGCCGTCTGTGCACAGAGCACAGCGCAGGAAGTGACGGAGAGGATGTGTCTTCATCTGACTTTGGTCTGTCTCTGTCTGGTCTCCAGATCCTCTGGCTGCCAGTACGTAGAGCTCACTGGCTACAGGCACAGCGGTCATGTGGGGTTTCCAGAATGGAGTGGGGTGGGGGCAACTTTGGGCACTCACTTGTGACTTTAGCCCTTGCTTATCTTCGGCCGTTTGCTGCTGCAGTAACAGAGTACCCGAGGTTGAAGGGTTTACAGTGAAGACAAATTTATTTCTCACAGTTATAGAGGCTAAGTCCAAGACCAAGAGGCCCGAGAGTCTGGTGAGGAGGGTCTGTTTCATCCAGCTGCGGACAGTAGAAGGAAGAGTGGAAAGGAGAGGGGGAGAAAGGGTGGAGACAAAGCAAAGCCCCAGGCTTTTGCCATTGGTGTTAATTAAGCCCTTGTACCCAGAACACCTCACCACCACTGCACCATTGCAGTCGGATTAACTTCCCAACACGAGGTTATGGGGAGCATAGTCAAAACATAGCAATGTTGGGTCTGGGAGTCACACAAATACTGAGGATGAGGTCACCAAAGTTAGATGCTCAGAAGCAACTTTATTCCATCATCCTGAGGTACCAGAACTTGGAACTAGTCAGGACCACAGGCAAGTTGGGATCTACACTGTGACCCTGAAGAGAGGGGGTAGGTACTTTTAAAAGCAAAAGTCACAAGGCAGGGGCGGGAGCCAAGGACAAGGTATGAAAAAGGATTTTTACAATTTGAGCTTAAGTCCTGGGTGACTACGTTCTGGGGATCTACAACTTTTGATAACCAGGTATCTATACAAGCCTAACAGGGCGTTTGTAGAAGCTTGTTTACATAAGTCTGTGCTTATCTTGACATAGCTTTTAACACAGTCGGAGTCTTAAATTTTTAACTAACTGTTGCCCCTGTGACTGAGAATATAGGACAAGGGTCACACTATAGAAGAAGCTGGGCAGGTGGGCTAATGTTCAGACTTACCCTGGGCCCTTCAGCAACCCTCTAGGCTGGTTACACACCTACATCATCCATCCTCTATTGTCCAGACTGCCCCCACATCCTCACCTAGCTCATAAGACTACATAAATCCCAGTTTTCCTTCTCTTTTCCACGTTCCCTTTAAATTTTTATTGTTGCATGCTCATTCTCCTCCTGGGCTCAGGATAAAACCTCAGGAGCCACGGCGCTTAGGCAATAAATAACCAGGAATGAATGGCGGCTGGGTAACCTAGGTAAGTGACTGCCTCCGTGAGGAGACCAGCAGAGGTGCGGAAGAGCGATGCCTGGGGGAGTGGGTATGGCTTCTTCAGCCCCTGGTCTGTATCTTTGAGTCCTTCCTCTGGTGATCTTTAGTTTCACAGCAGCAAAACAGCTGGGAAGAGCTGAGGACAGGGGGCCAGGAGGGTCGTAAATCATATCCTGCTTGCCGAGGCTTGGTCCTTATCCATCTGGGTCACTAATAGAGCCATGGTTCATCCCTCTGAAGTTGGGTGCCTCCCCGTCATACTGCTAGTCCCAAAAAGGAAGGTGGGGTCCTTCAGAAAAATCAACCTTTCTGAGATCTGCCTGTGAGGCTTCCTGGGTCCTCTCATCTAGTTTAACGTTCCCTGGGTGTGCCACTCTCCTGAGAAGTCACGGGGAGATTCCTCATACCCCACCCTAGTATTTCTCCATCTCTGAGGAACAATCTCCCCAACAAGCCTGTGCAGATAGGGTTTGACCAAAGTCATCCTCACCCACCCCCTCCAGCTTCTAGAATAGGGACATTGAGAGGTAGCGATCCCTTAAATGTCCCCAGCTTCTTCTATGAAGCCACTCCTGCCTCCCCCTGGTCTTCCTTTCCGCCTCAGAGCCTAAGAAGGTGTCTTCCTCTAAAGCCCATGAAAACCGACTTGGGGGTTGTGGAGGTGGAACTGAGAGAAAGCTGATCCTCAGTCCTAAGGTACCACTGACCATGGTGTGGTTCTGAATGTCATAAGGCCTCAGTAGACCTCAGAGCCAAACCTAACCCCCAACACATGGCTGGTGAGGCCAAAACAATATCTAAAGGAAGGGGCTAAACCTGACTTCCTGAAGAGTGTTCCCATAATGCACAGCAGAGGGCTCTGGTCACAAATGTAAAGACTGCGGTTTCCCTGGCCTGGAAGCTCTCTGCCCACGCCTGTCATTCGGCACCCCTCCCCCCTTTTTCATTAATCTATTACACAACAGTGCTCAATGCTGAGGAAACAATTCCAGAGACTTACTTGTGTCACTACACGGGTAATTAAATTGTGTAGATTTACATTTTAATTACATACTGCTTTGTTCCTGCTTCTTTTTTTTTTTCCTGAGGGATAACACATGTATCCCCAGGAGTCAATAACACCCTCAATGGGGCGAGACTTTCTTCTTCTATTCCACCCCGCCGCGAAATCTTAGCTGTCCTATCAGTGTGTGCCCCTACAGAAGACCATGATATATACATATATATATACATATAATATATATCATATATATAGGCATATGCAACAAAAGTAAATAAATGTACAACATTTCGTTGTATTATAATTCCACCAAAAAGGGGCCAATTAATAGAAAAATACCTAAAGGAGCTCTTTTGGGGAGCCACATTTCTAAAAATGAAATTGAGAAACGCTCAATGAGAGAGGGAGAGTAGATTAAGAAAATATGCTGTGCCGGGCAGTTGTGGCGCACGCCTTTAATCCAAGCACTCGGGAGGCAGAGGCAGATGGATCTCTGTGAGTTTGAGGCCAGCCTGGTCTACAGAGGGAGTTCCAGGACAGTCAGGACTACACAGAGAAACCCTGTCTTGAAAAAACAAAAAAACAAAGAAAGAAACGATGTCACTGCAGCAAAGTTATGGACTTTTAATCACTTC